GCACTGCACTTAAGCTTTCAGCCCTCGTCTTCCTCCCCACCCCAGGCCTCCTGGGCTGGGCTCCACCCCATCCCCAGGGCTAGGGGCAGGGGCAGGCAGAGGAAGCTGAAGGAGGCAGGGGGAGAATGGGGACTCCAGCAGCAGCAGCAGCAGCAGAACAAAGGGGGAATGGCACCCAAATGGAGGAGCTTGGGGGCCACATGTTAATCCCACAAGGATCTACATGTTAAACTTGCTGTAGCATCCTCGCAGCGCTACCTCCCTCCCAGAGGTGTAGCAGGGCAGCTCTGCCCCCAGGCCAGTGCCAACTGCCACAGTGCTGATCACACTGATCAGCTGCCCCTGAGGTGGTGGCTATTTTTACATCCCCTCGTCAATGGTGGCCCCAGTATCCCCACCCCCTGGCTTAGTTATATTACTGCTGCCTCCTGAACATAATGAAAATTTATCAGACCTGTCATTTTTAGTCCTGCCAATTAGCCTGTCCCACAGTGTGGCTACACTGTTTCCGGCTTCAGAAGCAACTTACTAGATAAAAAATGCACTGTGCTTGAAGATATTAATTTGGGGTACAGAATAAAGCCTTGAACCCAGGTCTCCAGCAATGATGTAGAAGAAAAATATACAGTGTGCCTTCAGCTCCACCCAAAGCCCTTTTTACAGAGTGTCAATATATGCAGCTTGCCGCCATCCTGTTACAGAAGTAACAAGCGTGCGGCCAATTGCAAAAAGAAACCACAGTATTTGTGTTATTTGAAACGAAAAGTGTCTGCTGATGGAGGAGAATCATTCATAACTGTTTGCATCACTTGCCGGCATTATCATCCTAGTGATCTCCTGAGGATTAGCTGGTGCTATCTATAAAAAGCCTTTCTGTTCCCTGCTATGTTCATTTATGAATGCATAACTCTCCCCAGAAATGTAAATTAAAAAGGGTAAAGCAATCATCCAAGCTGTGCAACGATAAATATTCACATACCCTCAAGCTTCTCACTTGTGGTCTCACGTTTCCTGTCTGGATTGCAGCAGCTGACTGTCTGGACCTCAGGGTTTTTTGTTTTTTTTCCTGTTTGCACTTCTACCTTGGCATGCTAGCACGATAACATTGATAAAGTCAGTGAGGGTTCGTTAACCTGAAGATCTGGGAATTTTCCAGAAGCTGGGAAACAGCATGTAGCATAGTGGGAGCCTTTTTCAGTTTGACTCATTCAATTCACTTCCTCAAAGCCATAAACTTTCCTGAGCATAGCAACCAGAACAACCCCTAATGCAGGCCACATACATAACCAAGCATACTTAACAGGAATCCACCAGCCACTGAACCAGAGCTTTCTGTTCACTGATCCCAATGGAGTCAAAGAAAGCTTTGTCGCTGACTTCAAAGGGAGACAGATTTAGCTTAGCTTTGTCTCCTAGACAATTGAAAGCTAATTCAGTGAATGCCTCCTCTCCCAGCAGTAAGAACTACCAGAGGCAGAGAGGCAAAGGGCGATGAAAGCATTATGGCACAGGTGGGTGAAAAACCACTTGCAGGGCTCCTTGCTGGAAGCCAGGTGAGAGAGAGCCAGGACAACAGTCCCTGGAAACCTTCTGTCATCAAAAACAAGCACACAATAAAAAAAAAAAAAAATCATACTGCATTCTGTGTTAGGAGTCAGGGCAGCAAGCAGGCTAAACTGCCCTGCCCCTAGTTGGCCCCAGTTTTTAACTAACTGGCCCCAGCTGATCCCATTTGTCCGCATGGCCATGGGACCTGCTTATCAGCAGCAGCCCCCTCAGTGCCCAGGAGGCTACTCAACAGGACAGATTCCTTGGGCTTCTGACTCCTTATTCTTAGTTTCCTGCTTTTGATTCCTACTTTCCCAGTTACTGGGTCCAGCTCATTTTTCCCTAGCTTCTAGTTCCCTGGGTCCTGCCTGTTGGCTTCTCGGCTTCATTCTTTTTCCTTGTTTTTGCCCATTGGTTCCCAGCTCCTGCCTGTTGCCTCCTTGCTTTAGAATCTGGCCTTGACCTCTAGTGATCTGGTCCCCAGTCCAAAGCCTGTCCTCTGACAACCAGCTCCTGGCTCATAGTTTAGTTTGATGATTGCCCATGTCCCAGTCCTGTATAGGATATACCCTTATTGTGGCACAGCTCAGATGATTGCTTTACCTGTTTTAATTTGCATTTTTGGGGATAATTATGCATTTATAATAGCTGCCTGGTCTGGATACCCTGGCTAATGACTGCAGTCTGAGTCCCTACCTCTTGTTTGTCTCAGCTTCACGACTCCCTTGCTCCTGAACCTTCCTCCCTGTTCTATCTGTTGCATCTCATCATCTGGTGCACCTAGATTGCACCTCTCTGGGGCAGAGGCTATGCATATGCTACAGTGACATGCAGCACCTGGCACACTACCGTCCTGATCCTTCATTGGAATTGAAACAACAGGTCAGCAAGGTTGGGAGAGGAACTTTGAGGTCCCTGGCTCATGGTTCTAACTACAGCTGACAGCCTACGACCTGGTCCCTTACATACCTAAGCCTCCTCACCTCTTGCTCCTGCTCCCCTGACACTATATGGGATCTTATCTGCTTCTAATCTTCCAGGCTGATATCCCCTAAGGTAAAGGTCAGCAACATTTTCTAGTGGGGGCAAAGGAGGGAACCCCGAATAAGCCAGCTCAGGTCAGACATGGGCTAGAATTAGGACCCGGCTACTACCCCTGTTTCTCCCTACCTCTCAGGGTGTGGCAAGGGAGTGGCAGAATGCCCCTTCTGCCACAGCCTGTGCCACCAGAGCTCCAGGTGGCAGGAGGAGCCCTGTATGCTGAATGCTGCCAAGGGCACAACTCCATGGGCCAGATCCAAAGGCTCCATGGGCCAAAGGTTGCCAATCCCTTTTTTAGGGCCAAGCCCTAACTGCCTACCTTCCTGTCATGCCCCTGACATTCTCCATCTGGACCTTTACATCTGCTGATTTGCAATCTCTACTCTAATCTGTGGCTCTCTACTCTAAGCTGATTTGCAACCCCTACTGTAAGCTTTTAAAACACAAGATAACTAGAGGCTGATCAAAACGTGCCTGTTATTCTGACATCTCCAAAATCCGTACCTCAGACTGCAAACCACGGAAATCAGCTGGTAACATAATTTCCTGCCGAACACCGCAAACATGAATACCTGCCTGAAAAAAGGGCTATTTCGGAGACTGTCTGAAGAACTAGAGTCTGGAAGGGAACAGTCAGGTGCAAGGGGGGGAGAAAGGAGGAGCGCGCTGGTGGAAGAGCTGGGATTAGAATGGTCAGAGCCCCGTCAGGTCATCAAAGGGGTAGAAGACAAAATTGCCCCCTTTTCCCTTAGCTTTCCAGAAACCAACATGCGTTGAGGAATTACAAAGCACATACCCAGATTTCCTTGCTACATACATGGGTTTTATTAATCCTGGAGAGAAGGGTGTGCAAGGACTAACCTACGCCCAAGGTGTAGGCCTCCATCCTGTCGGCTCTGCCTCAATACCAACATGGAAAATGGCTGCGTGGGGGTAAAAAAGGAATCAGAGTGGATTGACCACAACTAGGGGGGTGAAGACCTAAAACTGCCTGCTTACAGGACAATAATAAGCACCCTTTATTACCTGCCCCTCTCTCCATACTGTTTCCATCTATTTGTTGCATCTCATCAGGACCTAGATTGCAGCTCTCTGGGCCAGGAGCTACGCACATGCTACATGTGTATGCAGTGCCTGGCACACTAGTCCTGATCCTTCACTGGAAATTAAACCATAGGTCAGCGGGGTTGAGAGGGGAACTTGGAGATGCCTTCAGCCCTACTTTTCCGTGATTCTATGAGAAAGGAAACAAATCAGCTGAAGGGAGGTAGGAATAGCCACAGTACAGACTCTCGCTTCATGACTCGCCCAAGGCTGGAGTCTCAGAAAAAAAGTCTCATTTTCTTGGTGTTCTAAAGAGCGATAAACTGGAATACAACCAAAAGCAGATTCACACAGTGTCTTTGTCTGTATTATTTTATTTGTAGTCTAAAATATTTCACCACAGGAAGAAAAACAAACCCTATTTTAAAAACGTCAGGGCTCACAAGGAAAAAGAACCAGATCACATCCAGCCTTGCAGAAGGGAAGGATCTAGAGGGACACAATACAGGATGGGCGATAGGAGAACCACAGTCTGTCTGTTTAAAATGCCTGAAGGTCCCAAATCTTGTGTGTATCCTGGGTCTGGTAATATGGTAGTGATGTTTCTACTGCTTCCTGGGGATTGCAAGGCAGGAGAGACTGACCTTTTACCTGCAGGATGAGTCACAGATGAGTCCTTTCCACACAGCACTTGCTTGCCAACATGGCATATAGTGTTGCCCAATGTACGACCCATCCACCTCCACCTTGCCTGCTGCCATCCCCAGTGCGGCAGGGAAAGGCATTTGGACCTCCAGGGCTCAACACAGTAACCCTTCAGAAATGCCTGTCCAAACACAAGTAATACCGTGTGGCCTGGGGGAGCAGATCAGCTCAAGCTAACCTTTATTGTGGCATTTCTGCGTGTGCACAGAGGTAGATGCTGCAGAAGAACTACAAAGGGATCATGCAGTTTGTAAACTTCTGACTGAACTCCCCTCACATCTCTCTCCTTTTGAACTAGTCTAATGGCTGGCTAGCTCTTAGGGGGATTTTACTGACTTCGGACTGAAGTGCTGGGTGTGCTTGTTTGAAATGAACTAGCTCTTTTCTCACATCAGCATTTCCACCTTACTCCCTCTGACTTCCAGGCTCTCTTCCTCACACCCTGTTAAGAGAGTGCTGGGTAAACAGGGTTTGCCTCACTGAAGAAACCCATCCACTGATTCTTTGCTTCATGACAAATGAGTCCACACACTCAGCATTTCCATAATATGGCACAGCCCTGATGGCTATATTTTTACAGCAGCTACCAAATGTCTAACAGCTGACTAGCTTCTCTTGGCCCTGTTACATGTTACCCTGCCATCCTTTTACATGGCTTCAAGATGGAAAAAGACCATAAATGCCATGAATCTGCTCACCATAAATTGCCACTAGCAGAGGGGATTCCCAAAGGAGCAGAAAAAGGACATGGTAGGGGTATAGCTTAGAGGAGGAGATGTTGTGCGGGGGCATCTACGTTCCTTAAGGGGTGATTGCAACTCAACTTCTATCTTCTGCTCAAATTCACACCAGGAGCTGGGTCCAGGGAAAAGGGAGGCACTAAGGTGTTTTTTGTCCCTCTTGCCATTACCGTGTCAAGAAGAGCTTCAGCGGAAAACAAGTCCCCCTCCCCTCCTTCTCACATGTTCCCTTCAGCTGAGTGAAATGTCCTCTTTAAAAATAGGAATGCTTTGGAGCTCTGGGAGGAGTGATAAATCACAGCTTCTTTTATGTTCACTCACGGAGGAAAAAAATTAAATCTGTTAAAATAAAGCCAAACCCGTTTGGTTTCAGCTCAGCAAAACCAGGAGATTCAAAACCACCACGACACTATTTCTCCAGGCTCTTCTACCAAAGGCCCCTGCAGCACTTCAGAAGCTTTAATTAAGCCTCCCAACCCACGTCTAAAGGAAGTGCCATAAGGGGAGGCCTGCAGCTAATCAAGCTGAAGTGGGGCAGTAGCAAGAAGAGACAGAGAAATCCTGAATATTGGGTGCAATTTCTCATGTTTTAGTAGATGTGTAGAAATGCCTCGAGCACACATTTGATGCCAAGCAAAGGAGCCTGCCCTGGCCTGCATATGCAAATCACAGGTGGTAGTATCACACTAGCCTGCTGTGAAAACACCAGTAAATATTCAAACAACATCCAGCCAACAGGGAGCACCACTGACCCCTCACATACCTCCTACTCTGGCACTAAGCCTAGAAACCCACCTACCAACAGAACAGGTGCAGCAGTAGGGCCATGCCTGTTAACACACTCCCCTGCCACTGTGTATTATTCCTTGGGACTACAGTGTACTAGCAACAACAGTAGAGGTTACAGCATGTCATGACAATGCGTTTGGGAGCTGAATGGGCTTGTCCACCAGCAAATGGACTAATATCCCCCCTCCCTTTATGCACAGTATGAACAGCTGCCAAATGGCACCGACTTTTCATAGACTGCCTGCATCAGGACAAGAACCAGCAATCTCAAAGAAAGGGGGGTCTCAGCTCCAGTTGCACTAGCCCTTTGAATCTGCAAATCCTTATTCAGCTTTAGCACTGGTTGGCCTGTGTGGTTCGAAGAATGCAGTTCTAAGGGGGCTATTATAACAATGAAGCCCTGTTGATTCCACTCCAGTAAGAATTGACAGGAGCTGCAGTGCAGGGAATTGCAGGATTACTGCCAGTAGAGCAGGCATCACCACTCATATGAGGGGCGTATCCCAGCATTACAGTTCTGTGGGCCTATTGTGTCCATTCAGTGAACAGAGAAGTTAGGTGTGCTCAATATATATAGGTTAAAGCCACTGGGATCTCGCACTTCTGTCTTGGGCTGCATAACCAGGGGCATGCCTGACTGGCTGTGAACACTGCTTTCCAAAGACTCAGCACAGCCCATTATGAGCTCCACAGCAGCAGAAATACTGCCAGTAGGGCTCTGGGATAGCTCAGTTTCTGCGTTTGTTAATACTACGTGCTCAGCCCTTTAGAAGCACAGGCAGCTCCAGCCCCACATGACTTACAAGTAGCACCAGCCTTTAGACAGTACAAACCGGAGAGGAATACTGAACAGATAGCAACATAAAGATATATGGGTAGCTATGCAGATAGAGAAACAAAAAGCACTATAACTCAGGTCTCTGTTCCCTGAGCCAGCCAGTCCAGTCCATGCCACTCTCTGGCTTTTCCATTGGAAGGTGATGCAATGGAAACATGCATATTGAAGGGGTCATAGCATGTAGTGATGCACAGCATAGACCACCCTGAGCTCTCACTCCATCTCATCCTCCTTCAGTTTACTCAACTCTTCCTCCCTCTGATTGTTACTGCATTTGTTATTGTGACTAGAATACACCGGCATGGCATCTTCAGGAGTTTCCATTTCCACCCACAGGCTTCTTTCTTCCTTTGACCGGATAGGTGCTTTGTTAGTCTGCCTGAATTTGACATACAGGTACAGTAGAGCAGCAGTCAGGATAAGGAACAGAATCAGAGGCAAACTTAGGATGAAATGCAGCAGTGATGGTGATGAACAGATCCTGGAAGAAACTGTGGACTCTGCAACCAAGAAAACCACACACAAAAAAAACAGTTGAATACAAGAGCAGATTTGACTCTTATCCCCTCTATTCCATATTTACAGTGCCAGTGATGTTTGCAAAGTGGATTCCTATGGCTTAAGTTACATATTACACACGGACCGTACTAAATCTGTGGCATGTTAAGTGGTGTTAAAATTAGAACGTTCAGTGAGCAGTCACATGTTAAGGGTTAATACCATTTCTTGCCTGCACAGCTCTGACTTCTCATTACAGGGCTGGTGAGCAGGAGTGTGGCTAGGAGCCAGGACAAGTGGGCTCTGTTCCTGCTCAGCATGGAGGGGTGGGCTGGGCTTGGGAGCAGTGCATCCTGGGATGCTGGAGGACTGTGAATTGCTCATTTTGTCTCCATGGAGCAGACTGAATTGGCTCTAACACAAGCTAGGTAGTACAGCCCAGAATTATCTCTTACCTGAAGTAGTATAACTTTGAAGTGCTCAGAGGGTACTTAGCAAGAATTAAGAAAAACTTTATAATGTGCAGACACTCACGTTTTAAGTGCCCTTGGAGTACTTTGTGTGTGTAAGGTGCAACTTCACCCTCATATACAGTCATAAATTTTAAGGCCACAAAAGGCCAATATGACCTGACCTATGTAACAGCCCAGAAAATTTTGCCCTGTCACTTCCTTAGCCTCAGTTACTATCCATGTTCCTAATGGCATCTTCAGTGGTTTCTGGTTTCTCACAGCTAAGTGAAGAAGCAGATCCTGCTTTGATACCATACCAGTATAACATAACAAGAGGCAGAGGAAAGGAGAAGTCACAGGTGCCTCCCTCAGTGCTGCATGTGCCTGGCTGGAGTCTTTGGTTCCATGGAGTTATATTTCAATACTGCAGAAGCCATCTGCAGTCCTGAATTTTAGGTGCACCCAAAACACACTTCAGTTCTCTCTGGGGGACACATTGTTCTCAGAGGCCTCACTGGAACACAGAGAAAAGGAAACCTGACCAAGAACATCTGTTCCCAGTCTCAGGAGGTTCAGATGAAGACCAGAAAGCTTATTCAAACCTAGGGGATCCCCCCAGACCTTCAGAATTTTCCTAGAAGCTGAGCTTGAGGTATACACTGGATCATGCTGCAGAGCCAGATCAGGATTGAGGCCTTGACCCTGCAAGCACCCAGTCCAGTAAAACACTTCAGCACCAGAGTAATCTCCTTGAAGTCAATGTGGTTTGTGGCATGCTCAAACACTTTACTGGAATAGGGTCAGAGCACCCAGCACTTCAAATGACCAGGCCCTGAAGGCCCCTTCATTCAAGGTTCAAGGCCAAGCTTCGGTGAGAAGGTAGGGGACAGTTTGTGATGCTGAGTTAGGATTCCTCCTCCTACTCAAGTCAAGAATGTTAAGATCCAAGGGCATCTATATACAGGCTGGGCGTCTGCTCTGATCATGCTAATTAGCATGCTCCAGTGGTCTCTGTGTCATAGGTATTCAGCATCCCTATGCTTCAAAATGGCAGCTGGGGTGTTCAATGAGCTTTAGTTAAAACAAGCTTTAGTTAAAGCACCCCTGCCACCATTTTGAAGCATGGGACACTGATACATGTGATGCTGTGGATGCTTTAATTAGAGCAGCACTCGGAACTGCTCTAATTAAAGCTCTCCCCCCCACCCCCTCCATCCATCCCAGAACACTTGTAAAGATACCCCAAAATTCTGGTTTGGGCCCCATTTTACAGGGCTGGAAGCAGAACAGGCTGAAGGAAGAAAGTTGTGAAAGTGCTTAGAGTTGGTCATGGTCACCTGATGGTAGAATCAACACAGTGTTGTTTCCCGAGTGCCTTTCACTCCTTTTATACCAGACTCGCCTAGGACCAAGCATCCACAACTCCACATGACAGTAATAATCACCGCTGTCAGACACCTCAGGCTTCAGCAGCATCAGCCTATATTGCAGCTCCCCGGGCCTCTCAAACCTCAGCCGGGTCCTGACACTGCTGTTGATGGCAGGGCCATACTGAAACACAGAGCTGTGGCTTATACTGAATAGTTCTTCCCTTCCTGCTCCAGTCACTCTCCACCACCTGACAGAGAAGGTGGTGCTGCTACTGCTGTTCAGCTTGGAAGTGAAATTGCAGTCTAGGTGGACGTCTTTCTCCCAGCCCTCTTGTAGCACAACTGCTGAGTCTCTCGCATGCACCTGCAGGTTAGCATCTGTCACCAAAGAGAGAGAGAAGAAATGATAGCTGCATGTAACTGGCTCTTTCCACTGAAGAACAAAACCAATATGTAGTGTATTTTCTGTTAAAGGGCTCTTCTTCCCCCTGAAGTTCCCTATGAGCTGACCATCATGGCCCCAAAATGCTCAGAGACCCAGATCCCCCCACACAGCTTGCTAGAGCATGCCAGCCCTTCCATGAAACATCCTCTCCAGCTTTCCCAACCCCAGATCCCAAAGAGTGCACCTTCCCAACCAGGGAGAAGAGCTTGACCAGGAATTCTTGGGTCAGCTCACAGAGG